AAGAGAGAGAGAGAGAGAGAGAGAGAGAGAGAGAGAGAGAGAGAGAGAGAGAGAGGAGTAAGGTGCTTCACACTTCACACCTGTGATTCAGCTCAGCATTGGCCGACCTTGCAACGCAGGGCTCGGGGGTGGCTTTTTGGGGAAGGGCGGAAGGAAGAAACATCCTTCAGTTTATGAAACTGTCATCTGTGGGGGCAGGAGGAGGATTTCTTTTCTCTGTTTTTAGCATCACCAGACCTGAAACTGGCAGATTTGTTGCCAAAGGTGGTAACTCCTCATGCAAACGTGCGGTTCTCCTGGACATAGTTTTTATTTTTATTTCTTTGATCAATAAAACTAGACTTGCAAAAAGGGGAGGATACTGGATTGTTCAATTGCTGTAAACCACAGAGAGAGCTTCAGGTATGGGGCGGTACAGAAAGGAAATACTTTAAGGGATGCAGAAGGATCGGCTGGCAAGAGGAAATCAATTCATCCCCCTTGAGTAGGCAATCAGCAGTAATGGGGACTTTGCAGGTGGCTTGAGGTCTGGCTAGGATGATTTCTGCCTGCACGTGCAGCAGATTCTTGGGTGGAGGGATGCTGAAGGCTGTATCAGGTCAGGCAGTGATTGTGGAAGGCCCCTTTCCGAATGCTTCCCCAAGTCACCGAATCATTGCAAACCAAAACCAGCGCAGCAACGAAGAGTTGGAGCAGGAACATTTCTCCCTCCCGTGCTAGCTTTACTTCAGAGTGTTTTTTAAGGTGGTTAATTAACAAATTAATCCAAAACCACAGGGTAGCACCTGTAGCTCTCCAGACATAGTTGGACTTCAACTCCCGTCAGCTTGGCCAATGATTGGGGATGATAAGGGCTGTAGTTCAACAACTTCTGGAGGCCCGCATCTGGAAGAATGTACCGAGTTAACTCTGTTCTGTCTGCATTTTGCAGATTGTCAGAAGCCCTTTGTTCTGTCACTCGCTCGTTGATGAAGTGTTGTGTCGTGTTTTGTTGTTTTGCTTATGCACGGGTGTATTTGTGTCCCCCCCACAATCAGTCCACTAGTCCACAGATTCTACAAGACTAGGGAAAAGCTGGTCTGCCGTGGAATCTTTTTTACTTCCTTAGCTGCAGGACATTTCCATCTGACCTAAAGTCTGAAGTCTTCTACATCTCCACCTAATTCTGCTTCATTTTTGGACTAGGTCTGAATGGAGGCTGAAGAAAAAATATGATAAAAATTCCTGCATTGATCATCTTTGGTCTTTCTAAGCTTCTCTACCCGCTGATATCCTCCTTTTCTATCCCAGGCCTCCTCCATAAAATGGGGTCCAAACCTTCTGTAGCTTCAATATCCATTCATTTGCCTAATAATGAAAATACCACTGCAAAAGTCAAGTCACACAATTTTGTACAAGATTCGAGGACACTGTAATCTGAGTCTGTAGATGTTTTGTGCATGGACAGGTTTTCCCCTTGGAAGCTTTTTGATTCATTTTGCTTTCTGACTTACGTAGCCTCTAGAGATGTAAAAAATGGGGCAGAGGTAGGGAGAGAAGTCCCGTCTTTTCCTCTACTCCAAGATACTTTTTCATGTTTTTCCCAGATGTCAATGAAGAAAAATGGAACGATTTGAGGAAGGTAATATTTCTTCTTAAAGAGATGAATATGATGTTGAAGCTGAAGTGTTTGCCTACTTCTGTCTGGCTTTTACTCCCTCCAAAGGATTTCTTAAAACTATGCAAGAGGAAGACTTTAAGTAAGACTAGAGATTTCTGGAAATGTTGAAACTCTGGGGGGAAACGGTTTTCGAAATGCTCTTGCCTTAGTGATTATGAGCATGGTGATTTCTTCCTTCCCTTGCTGAAAGGATTGACCAAATGCAGGATTTCTTAAACCGTGGGTCAAGAGCCCCAGTGGGTCTCAGCCAACCTGCAGGTGGATTGCAATGGACCTTTCAGCCCAGTAATCTCTCTTTGCTTGACCACCTGGTGTCTCGGCATCACTGCACGCATTCGGTAGGCAGGTGTTGCTGCAAAATTAGAGGGCAAGGATAACATCTACACAGCCATTTTAAACACGGGGATAAGCAAGGATGGGGAAAGAGGTGAAAGTCATTATAGGAAGAAATGCAGCTCAAAGGACCAGATAGAAGGGTTGAAAGAAATTGAGGGAAAGAGAAAGACTATGGAATAGAAACGGGTTTCTCTGCTTAGAGCAGGGCTCCCTATTTTGAGAGTGTCATGGGCACTTTCACAAGATGGCTTACGGATGAAATGGCTACTATGAAGGACATGACCTGTCGGGGGGGGGGGGGGAAACCCCATGTTGCTCAGAAGGCAAATGGTTGGGATGGAAAAGGGGGACAGAAATGGAAAAGTAACCAACTCAAGAGTTTAATGCCAAGGCGAGGGTAGGGATTTGAGCCCCCAAATATGAGGGTTCTTCAAAAAGCTTCCACACTTTTAAAAACTCCATTTATTAAGAATTTCAAAAATAAGCGACATCACTTTTCTACATAGCCACCTTCCTTTGCGATGCCTTTTTCCTAGCGTCATACCAACTTTTTAATGCCAAAAGCAAAAAAATATATTTATAAAATATAAAAGTGCGGGAACTTTTGGAAAACCCCTCATATTTCTTGCTTTTTCAAACCCAAATAAAGAAGGCTCTGGTTGACAGTGATAGTCTGTACAGCATGGCGACCTCACAGTTAAATTTTAAAAGCTCAGTATCTTAAGGACTAAAATGAGGGGAGACGGGGGAGCCCCTTGCATGCCCAGGGAGGGGTCTTTGGACATGTTGGTACCCCCTGGCACCATTTTGGAGGCCCAGATGAAGGTTGCCCGGATCAGCAAATTTCTCCCAAAATGGGGAGGACACATAATGCCATTTCCAGAGCCAAAGTTTATGCTCGGCTTGAGGGAAAGTGAATTATGGCACTGCCTGCTGGAAGGAACTAGCTGTGGCAAAGAATCCAACAGTTTTCCAAGAGGGACTTGAGATCCCCCAGACGATACCAGCAATGCCAGCGGATTGTGCCCAACTCTGCCTGGTGTTCCTTGTTCCGTTTCTGCTCTCTCCAGTGGGGCCTGTGGGTAAAACATCCAAAAGCCTCTGGTTTAATGCAGGGCCGGCCCTGCCATGCGGCAAAATGAAGCGGTTGCCTCAGGCAGCAGATGCCGGAGCCCTTGGAACTTCCCACCTGCTTGGCAGCCCCTAAACTAGCCCGGGGCCTTCCGGAGCAGTGGTGGGCACGGTCCCAGTGTCAGCACTGAAGAAACATGCAACTGCAGATCCATGTGGCTTTGGCGCACAGAACAGCAAGCAGCACCATCTTGACCTTTGCTCATGCAGCAAAGTGTCTTGGGCCATCTGAGATCCGTTTTAGTTATTTATTTTTCGTTTTATATCCTGCTTTTTTCCTACAAAGGGCTCAAGGCAGCTTATATCTCCTCCTCCATCTTACCCCCACAACCACAACCCTGTGAGGTAGCTTGGGCTGAGAGGCTGTGACTGGCCCAAAGTCACCCAGTTGGCTCCATGGCTGAACGGAGACTCAAACCCAGATTGTCTGAGTCCCAGTCCCATGCTCTTAACCACCACACCACACTGGGTCTCCACTGATAGACCTTTGGAGATGCTCCAGGTCATGCTTAGTCTTAAGCATGGGACTAGAGTCAGTGGAGAGAAGCTGGGTTCTAGATCATCTGGGTTTGCATGGCTGGAGTCCTGTCCTTTGGGCTTGTTCTGGTTAGATGGTGAGTGTGCTCAGCCCAGGGAATCTGTTTTCAGTACAGGTCCTTTCACAAACCCACAAATCCACTCCCCATCCTTTCTTTGTTTCAGTACCATCATGTAAAAAAACAAAAACAGGTCAGGCTTTGAATGGGTGGTGGTGCTGAGCAAGCAGGAATCCGACGCCCCGGCCGCTACGAAACCTCTCCTTGTGTCCAGATTCAGCGTTGCTCTGGATGAGCAGTGGAGTGTGTTTAACCCTGCGGGTGCTGCAATGACTTGGAGTGGAGAAAGACGAATGAGGGACGGGCTAAGCTTCCCCTTCTTGCATTACTTTCTACCTGTCACATTTTAAATGCCTTTGCGACTCTGCTTGTTCAGTGGATTGCTTATTTATGGAAATATGCACCACCCAGAGAGGCCTAACAGGGCTATCGGTGCAGCCTATAAATGAATGCATGCATGCATGCATGCATGAATGAATGAATTTATGGAGTCCAGTAAACACAGAGACTTAACCAGACTTTAAAGGCTGAATGTTCATAAGGTTTAGTGCACCATGCAAGTCACTCTCCAGAAGCTGAATTTGCAGGAGACGGATAGATTAGCCTCCAGTCCTGCAGGATTTTTTGATTTTTGATTTTGGAAGAAATTGCATCTCCTAGGGTGTGCATGTGTCCTACTTTGCACAAGGCAGTCCTCTGTTTGAAGGCCAGCTGGGCCACGTACTTGCTCAACCCCTGGCAGAGTCTGGAGAAGACAGAGCAGTCGTAAGCCTCACCCAGCCGCAGTCTTCCCCACCAGGGTGAGTAGTATTTTATTTCTATTTGGATTATAGATTTTTTCCTAAATGAACAACCGTATGCATAAAATAACATATCTAATTTTATGCAAATTAGTGCTTTCTTTTTGGCTCTGCTTT